ACACACACACACAAAGACTATATAATTTGCTGAGTTTAAAACTATAAAAGAGCTCAAATTTTATGTAAGAAAGAATAGACAAATAATCATTTCTAGGAAAGATTTTCTCTAAATGATTTTATCATTAAATGCAAGGGATGCATTTAATGATAAAATTAAGGTAAAACAAATCTGATGGTAGAATATACTTACCATTACAACAAACACTGTCTCTTTATATATTGGTTGAATGTAACTTTAAGTGGCTTCCCATAACTAAAGTAGATATGAGTAATCTCAGGTTCTACAGATCTCAAAATTGGGAATTTCCCACCACATAATTTCTTAAAAGAAAAAAATGTACAAATACACATTCTTTCTCCCACCCTATACATTTTCAACACTGAGAAGTTTACTCAGGCCTATGAATACCATTGTTGTTTTTCTGCATTAAAAACCTCTCATACTGGAACAAAAGGCACATACGGTTCTGAGGCTGCAGGGTACATATGTAAACATATAGAATCCTAAAGCCTCAAGTCAAAATGACAGGAGAGTACTAAAAGCAACCATCAGCCTTATCTATTGCCTGCATGTGGTACAGAGTCACCAACTCTACATGTAGCCTTTTTTCTCCATTACACACATTACACACTCTCAATATTTAACTTCCATATTTAAGCTCTACTGTGCCACCTGGTGGTCTGAAAGCTTCTGAGCTTCCTTCGTGAATGGATTTCATCTGGCTGCAGGCTGTCTTTAACATTACCATGTACTTCCTTTTCAGACTCGGAATAAAGTCTAGTTTGAATAATGAATAAAACATCATCTTGAGCCAATCTCCATGAAGCAACTGTGAATGGTATCATGTTACTTATTTTGTCTGGAGAAACCAGGTAAAAGGATTTAAGATAATATCAAAGCACTTCACATTTATACCACCTTCATACAGAGTACCATCTCCAGGTAACTGAAGTGGCAATACACATGAGCATCATCCTAGGTGTAAAGGTATTTAGAATTTAGATAGAACACTCAGGTTCTTCATGGAGGTGAATAACTCGATCTGCTGAAGGGATCAAAGAAGGCAAATAAATATATCAACTAGTACGCCAACAGGCTCCCTCTGTAGAAGCCTTTTACACTACACCAAATTAAAAGAGACAGGAGTGTGGCAATTAATTCTATTCATAAGTATATTTGTGCAGTAAAACCCATTCATTACCTTGCATGCCAAGGTCAAAATGTCTTCCACTCTGTGTTCTGGCTTGATGGTTACAGTGACTCCTTGATTGTCCTGAAAGTGAATGTAAGCCTGGATTTCCCACGTGGTGTTGCGGGGAGCACCATCTGCTGCTGACCCATATAGATGCAGAAGTTCATCCACCTGTTTTGAGATACGGGAAGAAAGCGCACACAGGTTAGACACTCAAATGAAGGAAACTCCTGAAAAACTGTCCCCTTGATTTATGAAGTGGTTCTCATAAGCCCTTCCACACTCCTCCTGTAGCAGCTTCTCACAACCTCTGGGTAGCACAGCCCGTTTCCCCCTGGTCCACGTGGGTGAGACTGAGGCCCAGCAAGGGCGCAAGATCGGCAGACTCCTGTCCTTTCCACTCTACCTTTCTCCACGCAGATCAAGACAGAACACCGAAATCCATTCAGGGCTACCTGGTGTGCAGTCTGCCTGCTCAAGACCTATCTATGTTAGAGAAGGTCCACTGTGAAACTTGCATCTAAACTACGATCCTCCTCAAACCTCATCCACGACCTCTGCTCTCTGCCCGAATCCTGAGGCTGAAGTGCACTTCACTTAATCCAAGCACAAGTTTCCTTGAGTTTCTAGTTGCTTTTTCAGCTGTTTTCTGAGTAGGCACTCTGAAAATCACCCCCAAATACCATCTTTAGGAGGCTCTTCCAAATGGCTTACTTTCCTAATTTCACCGTCACCGTCATTGGATAATTTCATGCTAATGTGTTCTATGGTTTAACTAAAGAATTGTTAACACTTATTAAGCAATTCAGAAATGTTTTTCTCAGGCTAGGTTCTTGTATTTTCATTGTGATCAAAAGTAACAGACTTATCACTTAGGCAGCAAAGAGCTGCCCGGGGCAAGTCAATTAAGTGGCTAAGCCTCAGCTCCTATTCTGTCAAAGGGGATTATTATAATTACTTGAGTTTGTTCACTAACAATACACACTTCTGTGAACAAAGGAAGTCATATATGTGAAAATGTCTGATATACCAGAAAACGTCACATGTTGAGTCAATGTTTTCACATGGATCATACCTCAAAATTACCATGGATGGGTGATTTTACATTTAATTCCATTAATCTTTTAAATACAAAGCAAAAGATTCCCCTCCATAGGATTTAAATACTAGAATAAAAACAATAAAGAAATTCAAAAGAACAGGTTTGGGCAGAGCCAGGGAAGAATCCATCTTTCCAAGTCGTCTTTTTGAAAATGTGGTGATCAACTCTGAAATGACACTTTTGGATCTGTCACGAATCCATCACTTTCATCACATTTTCCTGGAAGGATGATCACAGCCAGAATGATTGTCCCCTCGTGTGCCAACATGAAGGAAAAGAGACAAAGGAGCAGATGCCTGGAGCCAAGGATGCCAGGAACCAGCGGGGACACCACCATCTCCTGAAGGCTCCAGGCTCACACCAACCACAAGCTTTCCCAGTTCATTCTTCCAGGGACCTCTACGTGGGCAGTGATTCAACCAGGTGCCTGGGCAGCAGCCCTGCAAGCCCCACTTCTTAAACTACTGTTGCGACTCAAACTAAAACCCCAGCAGAGGGCGCTGTGGAGTAAGAAACCACAGAAGATCAAAGCCAAAGGAAGCCCATAGAATAATTACTGTGCTGGGTGACTTGATGCTGCACTTTCAGATCAGAACAGGAAAAATGTGACTGAGGTCAACAGGTAGAGGAGAAACTTGAGAAATATAAATCCACAGCCATGCCTTGCTGCCCTGTGGCCCCGTCCCCTGCCGTCCGCCATAGGAGTAGCTACAGATCCATGCCCCACCAGATGGCCCTCTCAGGTGGGCACCAACATGACATACTATTTTCAGGTGAGAAAAATAAGGTGCAGAAAATCCTAGAAACCTTCCCAAGCCCACTGAACCTGTGCATGTCTCTCCGTGGGGATCTGATCCCTGAAGTCTGGTTTTAGCCTCTGCATAACACCCTCTCCTGCACAGAAATGTCACCCTGGTGGCGAACTCCTTGTAGAGGGGACATGACCTAACATTCCTGACTTCTTTCACCATCACACATGCCAGTTCCAGTCAAACAAACTGGATCACCTGACTTTCCCCCAAAAGGAGTAGCTACAGATCCTTGCCCCTTTCAATTTCCTTGCCCACCTCACAGCTTCGGCGCTGAAATCACACGTGTCCTCCAACCCTTTTTCAATGCCACCCCTTCCTCTGAAATGCCTCCTTCCTCTGCCCCACCTATCCCCAATTCCACTCCCCTAGATGAGCCCACTTGCCTATTCCTGGCATAATGTGTGTTTAGCAAAGTCCAGCTCACACAATGGTCAGCTGCAGGTCCTTCCACCTGGGGTGGTCAGAGGAATGACAGCACGGGTTTGGACCTCCTCATCCCTAGCCTCCATCAGCCCCTACCATGGTGCACTATACCCACAACACCGCAGCTCACGGGGTGCCCAGCCCATGGGTGCTGGGTTGGATGCTTGCAAGGTGAAGGTCATCTATTGGCCAAATACGATTTAAGGCTGTTTTTTGTAATGTCAGGTCCTTATAACACCCCCAAATTTAAAGAGAACAAATCAACAGATTATTAAAGGGAAGAAATATTGAATGAAAGAAAAGTACAAAGGTAAATAGAGAAAGAGAAGGAAAGACCAGAGGTAAGTTCTATTATATTCAGTTATTTTTAAATTTGGCTTTTTACCTACAGCTACTCTGAGGCTTCATTTCTTGAGTCTATACTGTTAACTAAGCTCTAGTGAATAATAGAAGATGTGCATCAAAGCCAAGGCCATCAAAGTTCACACCTTCTCAATAGACCCGACAGAGAAAAATTAGATGAGATTTTTGCTCACACACACACACACACACACACACACAC